TCAGCTGTTCCCCACAGGTCCCATGGACTCTGTCAAACTCTGTGGTGTGCACTGCAATGCTCTGCTTTCCACCTCCAAGCTATGGAGCTGGAAAGTGCAAAGGGGGAATTTCAGCATATTCCAGGCACAGACTGTCACTGGGGCAGGATCTGGCCTGGCTGCATTCACCCCATTGGGAAATACTGGACAGGCATTGCAGCTGATTCAATTTCCCTTGTAGCTCCCAGCCTGAGCGACCCTCCCACACTGCTTCCATCACAGCCAGACCCGGTGTGGCACAGGGACTCTGGCCACCACCAGCCCATGGACCTCGGGGCCCCACTGGAGCTCCTGTAGCTGAGGGAATCTGATCAATCCGATTTAAATGTGATTGTGGAACATAAAAAAGCAAGCCATGACTTTGCCCAGAGGACGCAAAGATGGTCATGAAAGTCTGGCTAAGAGGGATGCAGAAAGTGCTGATTCCTGCTCTGTAAGAGCCCAGCTGGTCCTAACATTTGTTTCCTTCAGTGCCATTGACATCAAGATCACTTGGATCGATGGGCAGCAGAGCCAAAACATTCAGATGGGTCCTTCTTAATGTCACAAGGTGAGCACCCACTCCCAAGGCCCCTGGAATGCACGTGCCCCTCAGCATCACTTTTGAGCTGGGCAGTCTCCCAGCTGGGTTCTTCCTGCAAACATCCTCGGACATGTTGTGATGGCACTGAGAGGACAGCAGCCAGCTGGGGTGGACCCAGACCTGGCTGCCTGCCTTTGCACAGTCAGTCCCTTTCTCTGCACCCTCTCCAGGGCTTTCAGGAGAGAATGGGCTGGGGAACAGCTCAGAGACCTATGCATAAAGCATAGGTTGGCTTTTAGGCTGACACCAGGGAGAAGAGGCTGTGGGGTTCTTGGTCTGGTACAGCTCTGGGACATGGGTCATGTTGGACCCACCACAGGACATCCTCAGAAGAGGGCGGATGCTCTTCCACCATGCCTTGGAGAGCTGAAGCCCAGGAGCAATTCTGCAATCCACAAAGGCATGGGAGGGAATTGTAGGAACCTGGGGGCCTGGGGAAATGAGAAGATGACCAGAAGCACAGGGACTCTCCAGAGCTGAGGAACTCCAGCCAGAAAGATGGAGGATGAGGAAGCTCCATCCTCCACTTGGGAGCTCCATTTAGCAGAAGAAAGGAGTGAGAGGAAGCTCTGGGCTGGGGACAGCATGGGTGTCAAGAGGTGGCCAGGAGTAGGAAATACCTTGGGGCAGAAAGGGTGGGAGCCCCTATTGCCCATTTCCCACTTCTCTACCTCCTCTCTGCTCTCAAGACCATGGCAGACCCCAGGAGGGTCACACAGGTGGAGAGAGCACCAAAACACAGCTTGAAGCTTCAGCTGGAAACCACAGCCCCTCTAGTACCCACATGGCCCCAGAAACAGCCCTGGGCACCCATGGGGCTGCTGAGCTGGCCAGACCCAGGGTGTGTGTCTCCTGGTGAACCTCTCTGGAGCCCAGCCCAGTGTGGCAGTCCAGCACACTCTGCTGCTGGAGCAAGCTCAGGGCGCCGTCTGTGCCAGCTAATGACTTCAGCTGATCATTTGGCTGGGGTTCAAGTCTTCTCTGTCTTGCCTAGCTACTTTCTACTACCCCTGGAGCCTTTCTGCTCCAGGGTGGCCAAGCTCTCCTACCTTTTTTTGCTCAGCTTGACACAGTTGCAACTTGCTTGCCTTTCCTGCAGGATGTCTGGGGGGGGGTTTCGTGTTTTTCCTGTCCCCGGGGGGTTGTGGGGCTGGGGGGGGCATTTACCTCCCCTTGCACACTCACTGCCCAGCACACCCTGCATTGGTGCTGCACACGCAGAGCTGCTGCCCTGCTCCACCATGGGCAGTGACCGCGTTAATTCTCCTCCGCTGCTGCACTGAGGCATCCTCACAGAGTATCTTCTTCACGTCACCTGTCTCAGCCAAGGTCTATGGATTCAATGCTTCTCTGGGGCAGGTTTTGGTCCCTGCTGTGTGCTCCAGATCCCAGCCTGCTGCCTCTCCCTTCAGCCTCTTGCAGGGCATGTCCTGGGGGGTGTTTCCCTGGTATGATCTCACCTTGGCAGCAGTGTGGCCACCTGGCCAGGCAGCACTAACCCTGGCACCTTATTTTCTTAAAAGCAGGGCTCTGCAGTAGAGGTGGAAGTGGTGTGCAAGCACCAGGGCACGTGCAGAGACAGACACACAAGGGGCTGCGTTTGAGCATCTGAGTCTGTGCTCGCATGTGCCTTCCAGAGCAGGTGCCTGAGCACGGGACAAAATCAGACACTCATCCACAAGCCTTGCTTTTAGGCTAATTTTTAGGGTAAATTAGAACACCCCCATGGGCACATCTTTTTAACCTGTTTTTTTCCTATTATCCCTCTAACAACAACAACAACAAAAAAACCACCTGTGCAGTGTTTACCTCTGCAGCCACAGAGACAGTAGGATACCTTTCACGTGCCAGCCTGCCCCTGCCACCTGCTTGTGGTTTTGGTGTTTGTGGTTGTAGATCTACTTAGCTGGGACTCATTTCTAGGGTTTTTTTCAATCATTTCACAATTCCCTGACACTCCAACCAGCAGAAGGAGTCCTGCAGTGGACAGGGCCAGCCTTACAGAGCCAGATGCCATGCATCCCCAGCAAACCCAGGACTGGCTCAGCTGATTCCCAGTGTGTGGGTGTCAGCTCCCAGGCTCCCAGCACAGCTCAGGTCAGAGCACAGCCTCATTAATATTTTGTTTTAATGCTGTTTTCCCAAAGCAGCCAGGAGCACAGAGCCCCTGCTTTGAGCAAGCAGTGCTTGTCTGGGGATGGTCAGAGTTAGTGGGACAGGCTCAGCCGTGGGCATAAGACATTGTGTACAAGAACATCCCATGCCCCCAAGTTTGCTGGCATATTGGGACCTCTCAGTGGGGATTGCTGAGTGAACAGGACGGCTTCATCTTGCTGGGCAACACAGTTTGAAGGGATTGGACTTGCGTGTCCCCATCTCCTTGGTGCCAGCAGCCCCCAGCTCCTGCACCCCAGGGATGTAGTGCCTAAGGGGACTGCAAAAGCCGGGAGAGCAGCCACCTGTGCAGCCCTCCCCACCTCACCAAAGCCCATCACAACATCCAGAATGAGCGTGTTTGGTTGTAATGAATGTGTTTTATTGCCTTCCATCCTGTCCAAAAGGCAGCCTGGCAGACAGCTGCATCCTCCCACGTGGAGGAGAGGGCAACAAAGAGCCAGCTCAGCTCCCAGCTCCTTGCTCAGAGCCGGTGCCTTGTAATTCACAGTTTCTTTACACAGCCTCAAAATAATAGGCCTAAACATCTGCCCAATAAAGCAACCAAGTCAGATAAAACATGCTTGACAGCAACATTCAGCTACAAGCTTCCCTCCAGCCAGCAAGCAGCCTTTGCGGATGCTGTTAAGCCTTGCAAGTCCTACTATTGCAATTATATGACTTGATAGACCTTTGCTGACCAAAGTCCACATCTGAAGTCTCTGCAAGCAGGTATCACTGCAGCTGTGGTAGAACACTCCAACCTGCTTCTCAGCAGGCTGGAGGGTGTTTGCAAGCACAGGGAGGTGGCTTTTCCTCACCAACTCTGTCCTGCAGGTCTGTACCTGCTCTAATTGCCATCTCACCTTCTGGGGGCCTTGGGTTTGTGGCCTCCCTTTTTACTAAATGTTTAGGACAGAGCTGCTCTCAAATGGCTGCAGTCTGTCTGCAATGGATTTGCACCTGCACAGCCTCACCTGCACTTCTCACTGCATGAGCTTTTCAGGCTCAGAAAGAGAGTAAATGAGAGTTTCTTGTTTTCGGGGTGGGTTGGTTCGTTGTTTTTTTCCCAGAAAACTGAACATTTGACTTAATAGCTGAATCTCTGACAAATGCAAAATGAAGGAGGGATAAAGAGTGAAATTTCACTGAAATCAACAATTGTTCTTATTTCATTGCAATTTGTACCTGAAAAATAATTTTAAAAACAAAAAAGGACAAATCCTGACTACCTTCCTCCAGGGTGCAACAGCATGTTTTAAAAGCTGAAAGGAAAACCTAGAAAAACCCAGTGTAGCCACACAGTCATCTCCTGTCCCCACTCTCTACACCTCAACCACTATTCATTGACCTGCAAGGAAGAACCCAGCAAGCAGCTCAGGCAGGACCATGGGGACATGGGACCTGCCTGGCACCCCACAGCCCTGCAAGCTGAAAAGGAGCAAACAAGTGAGAGGGAAAAAAAATGCAGCCATTGTTTATTTGGTATAAAAATAAGGTCAATCCTCTAGAAAAGCCAGCCTGCAGCATGACATGTACTAGGCAGTGCAGAAGGAGCCAGCAGTAGAGCCTTCCAGAAGAGTGAAGGAAAGTAGAGTCTTTAAATATAAAAACACATGTAAAAAAATCCCCAAAAAGGAGTCACAGGAAAAGCTGCCATCCTGTTGGGTGACAGAAATCCCCTCTGGTGGGAAAGCTGCCCACCTGCCCCTTGGGGCCATGGTTGAGCTTCCATCTGGGTCCAGGTCCCCACTAGCCTGTCCCGGGTCGAGTGAGGACCTGGGTGCCCCCACTGATGAGAGCTCCCAGCCGGTGCACGGGGTCCTAGCTGGGGGGTCTCTGCAGCAGGCACAGCCCTAGGCCCGTGGCTGAGCTCTGGAAATCCATTGCCGGGTGGTGGGTCGATCGTTGGTGGGGAAGGCATCCATCCTGCTGGGGAGGAAGGCAAGGACAGGTAGTGAGCGGAGGGGGTTTCAGCCCCCAGCCAGGGGGGCTGCTGCCTAGCATGACATGCCTTGTCTGTCCCCAAGCATTGCCTTGCCCCAGCAGACATCTGATGTTAAGGCAAGCACAGACCAGGAGGAGGGAGCTGTGTCCTCCCAAACTCAGTTACAGGAGCTGGATGCCCACAATCCTATGGGGAAGGATCCAGGATGCAGGTCAACATCCTTACCCTACCATGCTGTTGCCCTCTCCAGCCCCCACCTACCTCTTCAGGCCTGACTTAGACCTGCTGCCGCTTCTGCCCCTTGGATCTGCTCCCAGACTGCTGGGACCGTTCCTTCTTGTCTTTCCTGTCCTGCTTCTCCTTGTCCAGTTTCTTCATGATCTCCTGGATGTCTGATCTCGCAGGAGAAAAACAGATCTTGACTTTCTTCTTGGTGACAATCCTGGGGGTGCAGACAGAAAGATCTTCTGGGGGGTGTGCAGGGAGGAGGACAGGAGGAGAAAAGACCTGGCCAGAGACAAACTGCTCCAGACAGTCCCCACCACAGAGAGATACTCACACAACAGCAGGATTCATACATCCTGACTCAGGTCCCTGGAGGATGTAGGACTTCGCCACACTGGGTGGGATGTTATTCGAGCTGTGCTTCAGGCAGCAGTCTGAGGGCGAGCTGCCCATGCCTGGGAGTAAGGAGGGGACATGGCTTTTCAGGCCCCCACCAAGCCAGGGCGCCTTCCCAGCCATGGGAGAAGCACAGCACAGCTGGCTGATGGCACAGGGCTTTCTTGGTGTCATTGCTGGAAGAGATGCTGGGGCAGCGCATGCAGCTGGGAGCCTTCAACTCCAGGACCCACGTGAGGGTTGGACCCTGCCCTGGGGTTATGTGACACCAGTATTTCACTGCCAGCAGAGGGGAAACTGAGGCAGAGACAGGCTCCTTAAAAAGGGACAGGACCTCATTCTCCTGCCTGTGCTGTTCCACTTGGGAGTTCTGCAGCTCCAGCAACCCCCTGCACACGCACACACACACACATTCCCAACCCGAGGAAGCACACCAGGCACACACGCACCCAAATGCACCCCAAACA